TCACTCACACACACACACTCACTCACACACACACACACACACACACACACACTCACTCTCACTCACTCACTCACTCACTCACTCACTCACTCACTCACTCACTCACTCACTCACTCACTCACTCACTCACTCACTCACTCACTCACTCACTCACTCACTCACTCACTCACTCACTCACTCACTCACTCACTCACTCACTCACTCACTCACTCACTCACTCACTCACTCACTCACTCACTCACTCACTCACTCACTCACTCACTCACTCACTCACTCACTCACTCACTCACTCACTCACTCACTCACTCACTCACTCACTCACTCACTCACTCACTCACTCACTCACTCACTCACACACACACACACACTCACTCACACACACACACACACACTCTCACTCACTCACTCACTCACTCACTCACACACACACTCACAGGGACTAATTTAGATTGTAAAATGACTGATAAATATCTTCAGTATCAGATCAGTGCTGTTCTTCAGTCTGAACACTGAGGATGAATGTGGGAAAGTATTTCTCGTGATAAGTTGTCATATTTTCTCAGAACAGAAGCACTTCTCTGATGGATGCGACAGAAGAATCTGAAGAGATCGAAGCTCAACATCACTGAGATTCATCTGAGCGTCTCACCAGACCTTCAGCTCTCCTCGTATCAGCAAAAAATGAAGAAAAGATGCTGTTTTGGTGAATGTGTATTAATTAGCTGTCTTATGATTATGAGGACAATTACTGTATGTTATGATATGGATTGTGTGAATGATTTCTTGTCCATTTATTCTGTGCTTCTTAGAGAAAATGGAATATAAAAAATTTAACACTTCACAAATAAAGCTTTCACAGATGGATGTCTCTTTCATCGGTGCTTCTTTTAAACTTGCAGGAAGGAAAAAATCTTTTATTTTCTCTTTACATTTATGCATTGAGCAGATGCTTTTAACCACATTTATAATTACTGAAAGATTATTAGCGATTAAATAATTTGATCTCTGATGTGTTAAACTATTAACATTTTAAAATAAGAAGCAGTAACAAAAAAGCATCATGAACTAACATTATTCATGTTTGGTCAAACGTTTTTGTAAAACTTGACTTTATTGGAAATGCTAATGTATTATGAGCAAACGCGAGTTAATAATGAACAACATTTAGTAACGTTAACGTCGGGAAATAAATGCTGTAAAAAAGAAACTGCTCGTTGGTACAAGCATTGTTAACAAAGACCTTACTGTAGTTACTGTACTATTCAATTGAGTTTAACAGGTTAATATATATTAAAATGCACAATTAAAAAAATCACTAGAAGAGGTTGTTTTGCTCATTATTAGTTCATGATATCTAACTGATTAATGTTAACAAACGGAACATTAACAGGTTACAGTGAGGTCTGGATTATAACTATTAATGCTTTAAAAGTAGATTGCTCATTGTTGATGTTATAAAGCTAGGTTAATGTTACTAAATATACTACTGTTCATTGTTAATAATACAACTTGAAACTTAATATATTTTAACATTAACATTTACCTAGATAAAGGCTATAAGCTTCCTGAGGAACCTGCATTAACTAATGCTTACAAACAGAGCAGAAACGCTTTACTATGGCCTCATTTACATTAGTTAATGCTATAAACAACTGTATATATATATATTTATTATAGCATGTCAGTGTCATTTAGCATAGTGTTTATTGATCACGTTAATGTAAATGTATCCAGGTACAAAGTTTGATTTAAAAAAAAAAGTGTTGAAATAAGCCAATTATTTTGCCAGAACTAAACTACTGCTCATGTAGAAACGTAGTTTAACACTGAACTCATTACCAATAATTAATATAAAACTCTTAATAATAATGACTATAAGCTCACTGATTGTCGATCTCGTTAGATCTCCTGGTCCTACACCAAACACATGGCGGCGCTGGAACACGAGAACACGCCAGAGAGCAGCGCAGCTGTGACAGCATCATCACACGCACATGTATGTAGCTCTGAAAACAACCATCCTTTAGCCATTACTAGTTCATTTAATATGAAAACTGCTTGTACAATAATTACGATCTAGAGCTGCAGTGAATCATCTGACGTGTCAAAAACACTGTTTCCTCAGCAGACAGCAGCTCCAGACGCCGGACAGACGCGCATCTGATCAGATGAAGAATCAGAACGAACACGGAGCTGAAAAACATGAACGTTTGTCTGTCGCATCGAAGGCAGAGCCTGAACCGAACAAATGACACGCGTGACGTCAGCGTGATGATGCACTGTACAGCTTTAGCTAATTATATTTTATTTACAAAAAACAGATTCATTATATAATGACACTCATTTTTCATTAGACAAGAATACAGGAGCAAATTATGAAATAACAGTAAATCATCTTTCTTGCATTGCTTATAAAAATACAAAACGAAAGGCCTTTTGGTTTAAAGCATCACATCCACCTCATTCATACAGAAGCAGCCAATCAGAGGCTCTGGCCGATGTAGTGACGTTAATAAACGATAATAAAGTGTTTTACTCTTTAAATACAAACATGAAGATGAAATCTGGATTTCAGTGGAAGCCGATGCGCAGCGCTTTGTTTTTCACCATGTTGAACTTGCAGACGAACACGCGTGTGAAGGCCGGGTCGGCGTGATACTGGTATGTTTTGGAAACGGTGGGCTGCGGCTCGGCAGGAGTGACGGGAGGCTGCTGATGGAGGGACGACAGAGATGGAGACAAATACTGAGACGCCCCGGTGACGAAATCCACCAGCCGACTGTACTGCAGCTCAGAGAGACGCTCACGAGCACCGTCCACCTGAGACACAAGAGAGAGAGACAGAGACACGCATGAGACGCAGAGAGACACACATGTGACAGAGACACATGAGACAGAGAGACAAATATAGAGAGACACACAAGAGACAGAGACAGACATGAGACAGAGAGACACACATGAGACAGAGACACAGATGAGTCACAGAGAGAGACAGAGACACATGAGACAGAGAGAGACGCAGATGAGTCACACAGAGAGACACACATAAGACAGACAAAGAAAGAGACACACATGAGAGACAGTGAGACACAGATGAGTCACAGAGACACAGATGAGTCACAGAGAGAGACTGAGACAGAGACGCAGATGAGTCACACAGAGAGACACACATGAGACAAAGACAGAGAGATACATGAGACAGACAAAGAAAGAGAGACAGTGAGACACAAGAGAGACAAAGACACATGAGACAGAGGGACAGAGAGAGATGAGCCCGTGAGACACAAGACGGACAAAGAAAGAGACAGATTAGACAAAGACATATGAGACAAAGAAAGACGAGAGAGACACACATGAGACAGATGAGACAGACAAAGAGAGACAGACAAAGAAAGAGAAACAGAAAGAGAGAGGTAAGACAGATGGGACAGACAAAGAGACAGATGAGACAGACGATAGAGACACAGATGAGACACATAAGAGAGCGAGTGAGACACACATGAGACATAGTGAGAGAGAGAGAGAGAGACAAAGAAAGAGACAGACACAAATTAGACATAGAGAGACAGAAAAGACAGTTTGAGACAGAGAAAGAAAGAAAAAGAGACAGTGAGAAAGAGTATCAAACCACATCCATCATGTGCAGGAACATGAACAGGAATGAATTTTTTACTCCATTAGAATGGTATGAAACTTGGTAGAGGTTTTAACATTCGCTATGTGAACACAAAGAAAATCATGGACATGATTCAAAAAGGTTAAATGGTCCTGAAAAAATACAAAAACACAATATTGTCCACATTCAAAAATGGCCGCATTGGAAACGAATGGGAAGCAAATTTCATCTTGTGGAAACGTTTGGTGCTGCGGCCAAACAAAATCTGACTGAAAGCTTTTTTTGTGATGTCAACCTAAAATTTGGAACACAGACTTGTGGCTTTGATTTTCAGTCTGTTTTACAGTAAAACATGTTTTGAAAAATATATATTCCATATAAATTTAAAAATAGTATTTTTGTGCATTTTTCAAAATAGTAATAAATTTAAACTTCTATAACTTTTCTTTTCTTTTTTTACTTTTTTTTTTTTTCATTTTTGACTGGTTAAAAAAAAAATCTACTAACAATTACACAAGAACATCCAGGAACGTCCATGCTGCTGCAGTGTGTGTGTGTGTAAGTGTGTGTGTACCTCAGTGTCACTGGTCACTCGGTGCTGCTGCAGTGTGAGTGTGATGCGTCCAGGTGTGTGTGTGTGTGTGTGTGAGTGTGAGTGAGTTAGTGAGTGAGTGAGTGTGTGTGAGTGTGCGTGTGAGTGTGCGTGTGAGTGAGTGAGTGAGTGCAGCCGGCGTGTTCCTGCCCCGATCCGCTCACCATACGCACGTCTAGAGCCATGTGCAGCTCCGGACGGCCCAGAGACTGCAGCATCTTCCTGCACACACACAGACGGACACTGGCGTCACGTCATGAGAGATCTACACACACATCTGACCGAGGTCACGCTCACCCTCCTGACCAGGGTTTTGCAAAATTAAATAAAAATGTAAAATTAAATCATTTTAAAATAATAAAAATCAAAATAAAACATACTAAAAAATGTTAAATCACAAAAATGTAAAATTAAAATAATTGTAAAATAATAAAAATATAAATGCATACAAAAAATAATGAAATCATAAAAACGTAAAATTAAAATGAATAAAAATGAATCAAAACACTAAAAATGTATTAAATTATAAAAAAGTAAAATTAAATAATTAAAAAAAAATTTAATTATAAAAATGTACAAAATACTTTCAAATAATAAAAAACAAAATACAAAAAAGTAATTAAATAAACAAATGTAAAAATTAAAACGCTTACTAAAAATTAATTACATTATAAAAATTTAAAATTTAAATAATTTAAAAATAATAAAAATCAAAATACGTACAAAATATTAATTATTTCACAAAAAGGTAAAATTAAAATCATTTTAAAATAACAAACCAAATTAAAACACTATGAAAATAATAATAGGTAAATGTAAATGTAAAAGCTGTTGTTTTACCAGATGTATTTGACGTGGCTGTTGGAGGCGTCGGCTGATCTGGTGTCAGTCGGCAGGTGCAGCTGTTTGGGAAGCTGCCAGAGACCCGCGCCGTGCAGCAGACCTGCGACACACACACAACACACACACACACACATACATACATACACAACACACACACACACACACACACACACATAACATACATACACAACACACACACACACATACATAAATACATACACAACACACACACACACACATACATACATACATACATACATACACAACACACACACACACACATACATACACAACACATACATACACAACACACACACACACATACATAAATACATACACAACACACACACACACACATACATACATACATACATACATACACAACACACACACACACACACATACATACACAACACACACATACATACATACATACACAACACACACACACAACACACGTCACTGCAGGCGTGCACATGAACTATGGAAGGCCAAAAGGGCCAAAAACACGTGAATTTTAACATGTCAACAACACGTTAAATACACGTATTTCACGTGTATTTAACGCGTTAAATACTTGTTTGCACGTGAAAAATCAGCCGTTAAATACGCATATTCAACACGTATATAACGTGTTAAGTATGTGTGAAATACATGTTAAAAATCAGTTTGAACGTGCCAGTGTCATTGGCTGCTGAAGACTTGGGTCAAACCATGTCTGTGAGTTTAGGGGGGTGTACATTCATAGATTAGGCTACCACCATTTAACATGCTATAGATCAGCTTATTCAGCCTAATTATTTTGCCCTATTTTGTCTTTTTTTTTTGTATAGCCTATAGAAATTATTCAAATTGCAGTTTCATGAAAAATTTGCTAAAAAATAAAATAGCCTAATTTTTCTCCACTCATGCATTTTTGTAAATAAACACATTAGTGGGCATTCTAGCTTTAACAGCGATCAAACCTAAGTTAGCATCAAAGCATCAACATTTGTGTGGAGAAATCAGTTACAGTGGAGGTAAGCAATCAACGCAGGTTTAAGATACAGACCATTGTAATCAATATCTGTCTTTGGAAAACAACATGAGCTTTTATTGTGCTTACATTTGCAGCTATCACCAGCAGGTGGCGCTTGCTGAAACCTCTTTTTGTTCAGAGATCATGCACTCATCAGACAAACAGTAATTAGGTACACAGGTGATGTTATCCATTTAAATGAATTTAAAGACTTAAAGTATTTATATATGGTATTTAAGACTTTATATAAGAATTTCAGGATGAGAATAAGAGCTTGTACTCTGGTCAGGACAGGTCAATTTATGTCACTGAAAGCTCACATGTACAATAGAACTACAGTACAATAGACGTTCTATTCACAAAACCAGCTTCATGTTGTTTTAGAGCTGTGAATGATTGCAACATATGTGCAGTATATTGTTCTTATGACTTTATAGGGCAGCTTGATTAGCTGGATCACGTGTGTTGGAGCTGGTCTAAAATTATATTTGAACAGTATAACCATTTTTTTGCTTACCTCCACTGTAACTGATTTCTCCACACAAATGTTAATGCTTTGATGCTAACTTAGGTTTGATCGCTGTTAAAGCTAGAATGCCCACTAATGTGTTTATTTACAAAAAGGCATGAGTGGAAAAAAAATGAGATCTAATTTTTCATGAAACTGCAATTTAAATACAGTATATTATTTCTATAGGCTATACAAAAAAATAAAAAATAAAGACAAAAAGGGCAAAATAATTAGGCTGAATAAGCTGATCTATAGCATGTTAAATGGTGTTAGCCTAATCTATGAATGTACACCCCCCTAAGCTCACAGACATGGTTTTACCCAAGTTTTCAGCAGCCAATGACACTGACCCGTTCAAACTGATTTTTAACATGTATTTCACACATATTTAACACGTTATATACGTGTTGAATATGCGTATTTAACACGCTGATTTTTCACGCGCAAACAACATGTACGTGTATTTAACGTGTTATGTTAAAATTCATGTTTTTGGCCCTCTTGGCCTTCCATAAACACACTCTCCTGCGCTCGTCTACATGAATGGTCTCTTACCGTATCCCGTCTGCGACACCAGCTCAGCTGCTCCTCCGATTGGCTTGGTGAAAACTCCCACAATGCCTTTCCCCACTCCTGAGATCACGCCGCGGGCCGCACTGCTCGCCGAGCTCGGCAACTCCAGCGTCCGAGTGAACGTCTGCATGGGCTGATCCACGATTCCTGCGATCGCTCCTACACACACACACACACGAGTGAGAGATGGCAGGCTCAGGGGGACGGGAAGTGTGTGTGTGTGTGTGTGTGTGTGTGTGTGTGTGTGTGTGTATATGTGTGTGTGTTTTACCCAGCAGGCTGATGCCGAGTCTCGACAGGCCTTGTCTCAGTCCGTCTCCCAGAGTCTCAGGTAACTGTCTCCTCCACTCCTCCTGTCGCATGTAATGCTCGTCGTCCAGCGACAGACGGTCCATGTTCCGCGCCAGACTCGTGGCCAGATTTGTGATGGACGTCAGAGTTCCTGTACACACACACACACACACAGTGATGTGATGCTCAGAGAAGGAGAATCAAACCATAGAATGACTGACACTGGAATCACACATCGTGTGTGTGTGTTTTACCTTTAGAGATGTGTTTGATGAAGGAGTTTGTTCCTCTAGAGACGCCACTGATAAACGCTCCCGGCCCGCGGGTCAAACCCTCGTACGGCAACCGGAAGAAATCCGACACGCCGTTCCCGATACTCCGCACAAGACTGGCCGGACTGCCCAGAATCTCCAGAGAGCCCACGACCCAACCTAAAACATCATCAGAAAACAACACGAGTTTCTGTCCATTAACTAGCACTCTTGGGAAAAAGAAACTCCTCTCCAGGTCAAAATGCCCAGAACACAACATGAGGGTTAAGATAAAGAACGAATAAACTGTTGATTATGAGTTTTCTTAGAAAAAAAAAATCAAAAACCTTGTGATCAAAAGGAAAAGCAATAGAATCAGAGAATAAACTGATCACAAAATTTAAAATAATCAAGTTTCTCTTCAGAAAAATAAAAGAGGAAACTGCACAGATGACAGAACAAGACACCAAACAGACTCCAGTATACATCAGCATATACTATTATAGTGTGTGTGTGAGTGTGTGTGTTTTGAGTGTGTGTGTGTGTGTGTGTGTGC